TTACGAACAAGAGCAACGCGGATGAACGGAATTCACCGCTGGTACGACTATTCCTCTAGCCCGCGTGGCGAAAGGAGCCAGCCGCCGCTCGGCCACTATTCGAGAGGCGCAGGCGTAGCAAGAGAGGACCACTCTGTCGATCATCTCGTTCGCCGTGATGGTATCTACCTCCGAATTCTCACAGAACAGAAGATCCATCACTCGGGCAAGCGGTGTTGCCTTGCACCTGCATGCTCCGAAAGTTTGTGCATTCGGGTTCGCATGTGTTGCCGAACTCGTGTCCGTATCCGCGGCCTTGTCGGTGATTGCGGGCTCCACGGCGTGCAAGTCCGCAATTCTGCGCAAGTAAACATCGATTATACCGCTGCTGGACAGCAAGGACTGTATCCTTACCCGTGTCATGCTCGCCATTCCGCCTTCATTTCCCTGGCGTGCCGTGGAACCACCTCCACTTCTCGGGCTTCGAATTGCTTTCGAGGCTGCTGAGCTCCTGCTCGGTGAGGGAGAAGTCTAGGATGTCCAGGTTCTCAGCGATGTGCTCTTCGGAGGTGGCACCGGGGACCACGGCGACGCCCCGGTCCACACCCCAGCGCAGGAACACCTGTGCCGCGGTCTTGCCGTACCTCCTCTGCAGAGCCTCGGCCCCTGCCCGCGCGGCCGCCTGGCTGAGGTTGGCCCCCGCATGCCCGAGCGAGCCGTAGGCCGTGACCGTGATGCCCTGCCCCCGCATCCACGCCACCAGCTCCCTGACTGGCGGCGGCGAGAAGGGGCTGAACTCGATCTGGTTGTTGGCGGGCCAGACGCCCGTGGCGTTGACCAGCTCCTGGATCTGCACCCGGTCGAAGTTCGAGACCCCGATGTGCCGCACCTTGCCAGCCCTCTGGGCCTCCACCAACGCCGCCCAGCTCCCGACCCGCGCCTCCCTGCCGCCGTCCGGGACGTGGATGAGCATCAGGTCTACGGCCAGGACCTGGAGCTCCTTCAGGCTGAGGTCCACCGCTCTCTGGGTCTTCTCGTAGCCCATCTGGCTCGGCTGGATCTTGTCGGTGATCCATACCTCGCCGGGGGCCAGCCCCGATTCCCTGACGGCGGTGGCCACGTCCCGGTGGTTGCCGTACATGAACGCAGTGTCCAGCAGGCGCCCGCCTCTCTCGAGGTAGGCCACCGCCGACGACACGAGCGGCCTGCCCTTGGCGCCGGCCCTGCAGCACGTGCCGAAGCCGAGCACAGGCATCGCGCGGCTGCCCGGGGCGGCGCCCCGCATCGGGAGCCCCGGCGACGCGAGGCCGCTGGCCGCGACCGCCGGGGCGGCCGCCGCCGGTGGTGGCGGCGCCGCCTCCGGAGCCCTCACCCTCGCGACGACGCGCGAGCGGCGGCGCCGGGAGCGGTGGCCCCCGCCGTCGGCGCTCTCGGCAGCCTCCTCGGGCGCGGCGCCCGCGGCGCCCGCGCAGGCGACGCCGTAGGCGCTGCAGGCGTGGCGCCACAGCGCCGCGGCCTGGGCGCCCGGCAGCGGCCGCGGGAAGAGCGCGAGCTCCGCGATCGAGCCCTTGAAGAAGGCGTCCACCTTGCCGCGGCCCCCATCGTTGCGGGCCCCGATGTCCAGGTCGGCCGCGGCGAGGCTGTAGGCGCCCGGCGCCACCCAGTCGCCCACGGCGGGCGCGGGCACGCCGTCGATGGCGAAGGAGACGCCGTCTGGGCCCGAGGGCGGGAAGTCCACCCTCGCGGCCTGCCAAGCCGCCTCGGGCACCTTGCTCTGCGTGCGCCGGGCCTGCCCGCAGCCCTTGTGGACCATCAGGGTGGACTGGTGCCCCTCGTCGAAGCCGAGCTCCATATTCTTGCGGCCCTTGCAGGCACCAGCGCCGACTCCCCAGTTCAACAGGAACTGGTACCTGGAGGGCGACGGGACCATGAAGACCACCCACAGCGAGAGCGCCCCGGCCCGGAACAGGGGGACGTCGGGCACGACCAGGCGCCCGGCGCCGCCGAAGACGACCGCCGCGCGGTGCCCGCGGACCGCGCCCTGATTCAGGGCGACGCCGGAACCCACCAGGGTCGCCACTGGGGCGGTGCCGTTCCCGCCCAGGGCCCTCCACGAGGTCACGCTGCCGTCGGCGTCCAGCTCCACCCCGTCCTCCGCGCGGAAGTGCAGAAACGCCCCGTCGAACGGGTCCGGCGGCGGCTCCGCGGCGGCCGGCTGGGAGGGCTGCATCGGCGCGTCGACGGCCGGCAGGCCGCGGCGCCCCGCCAGCCAGGCGTGCTGCTGCAGCAGCATCCAGCCGAGCGGCACGAGGGACATTGATACCGCGGCCGCCTTGGCCGAGTGGCAGCACTGCGGTGCGCGCGCCATGGCGCCGACGGCGCGGAAGATGGAGGAGGAGGACGCGGGGGGCGAAGAGCGAGGGCTGCACCGAGATGATCGGAGGCTCGGGCGGCCTTGGGCACACGGAAGCGGTGCAGGGAGGTTGCTGTGACGCCCCGACGTCGTGGTCTTGTCTCACCTCGGACCCCTGGATGTTTGGACCAATTCCGCGGGACGGGCGTCTCCTCCTGGGCAGTTTTGTTCGCGGTCCCGGGGGCCGGTGAGGGCCCCCTGGAAACCGACAACGAGAAGAAATTGGGGACTATCGCAAGCTTTCCCATCATACGCTACGCCAATCGCCTGCACGTCTGGACATCTCTTCGTCAACTTCACAAGCGACTTTTCGCCCCCAATCCCGGAGTTGCCTCTGAAAAATCGAGTTGCTCAGAAAAGAGGGGAAAAGTCATATGATGATGATGATGATGATGATGATGCTGATGATGATGATGATGATGAGGAGGAGGAGGAGGAGGAGGAGGATGGGGAGGAGGAGAAGGAGGAGGAGGAGGGGGATGATGATGATGATGATGATGATGATGATGATGATGATGATGATGATGATGATGATGATGATGATGATATGAAAAGTCGGGGATACAGCTTCGGGGGGCGATCTGGACGCACTCCCTTATCGAGGATGGGCGCCCCCGCCCACCTTCGATCCGAGAGTCGGGCCCCAAAACTTCTGGTCCCGCCGAACCCCCCAAAGTCGGGGATTGGGGTCGCTATATCCCTCGCTGCATCTCATGCCATCCCGACCCCCAAACGCGCGAGGAAGCGGGGCCCCGCCCTCCTGGCACCGGCTCCAGGGAACGAACGGACCTCGTGCAAACGGTGCCAGGCGACGACGAATTCCGTTCATGGGGGAAAAACACAAACTATCAATGACACGCCTCCCTGGGCAACCAATCAGCGTGTTACTGTTGCAGAAGCACCATGCCTCCGGCCAAGAACGAAGAGGTAACGTGCCGACGGGCTCCCTACGGAGCCGTGTCCCTGCCACTCTTTCCCCCTGCCGAATGCCATGCGCTGAATCCAGATCAATACGAATTGTACGGAATCCCTGGGAACGGATTCTGGTCCATCTGGTGGATCGGGCGACGAACTCAAAGCGGCGCCCTGGCGTGGGAGGCCCTCGCAGAATCGCCCCACTGGCCATCCAGAAACCCTCCAAATGCCCCAAGATGCGTGAAAGCTCCAAGGCGCGGCCAGAAGGCATCAACCAGTACCAAGATGCCCCCACGAGGCTTCAGCAAGAGCCTCGGAACCACAATGGGGCCCCCAAGGGCGCAAGACTCGTGTGCAAAAGCTTCGGGTCAACAGCTGAGCGGCGGCCTGGTAGCTGTGTTCGGACACTGGCCACACCACGCTAAGGACAGTCAAAGGTAGCAGAGCTTCAGACAGTTCGAAATCGTGCTATAAGATCGCCTGGGGAACACTACTCATCGATGCTCGACTTTGTGAGATGCCAAGATAAACTTCAGGAAGTCCTAGGGCCACCGGTGGAGGATAAACTTCACTTGTTCACCTGCTGGAAGGCCAGTGTCTCATTGGGTGTGCCAACTGTACCCGCACCTCAGTGCGATCATCGTACCAATCAGACCGAAACGGATGACAAGAACGTAGCTGCAGCACAACTCACGATCAGGGCATGTGAGAACGCGTAGCAGATCGCATTCGCAAAATGTCCCCAACATCATGAACACACTAAAAGCGTCTTAGCTCAGTTCACGGAAATTGGTCCTGAATGGCAGCTTCCAGCCAGCCGAAAGAAGTCCTGGTCATACACGGACTGCCCCGTCGAGGGTCCCGCCTGAATGTCACGGCGCGAGAGTTCGGTCATTTTCCAGGTCACACAGATGGTCCTGAATACTAGTCCTGACCCTGGTGCTGAGTTTTCTGGTCGCCCGTGCGGTCCGCGTCACGATGCCCTGGCCACTGTTCGGGGTCCATGGGCCAGACTCCTCCACCTCCTCCTCCTTCCTCACCGCTCCTCTCTCTCTTCCTTTTTCGTCCTCCTCCTCCTCCTCCTCCTCCTCCTCCTCCTCCTCCTCCTCCTCCCCTTCCAGGAGCACGTGTTTCATCTGGCTGGGGCCTTCCTTGTGTGCAGGCACTGTTTAGCCAAAGGGAAGACGGCCTCCATCCTGCGGCACCTTACGCCGGGCAACGGCAGGAACTAGTTGCCCTCACCCCTGCCGCGCGAGCGAGTCAGACTGGCGTTCAGCGGTGGCGGCTTGTACGCGGACGCGCCGCCCCAGGCCAGGCCCGAGGCGGCGCAGGTGGCCATGCTGGCTGCCGACGGGTCCCTGGGTCCGAGTGCGGGCTCCGGGGCGCCTGCGGATCGGGGGCTGCTCCTGTGATGGGGGAGGGCGAGCTTGCTGCTTCCACTGCTCTGGGGCAGTGAATTGGGCGACACGGCCCATTGCTTTTCTGTTTTGAGTGTGGTTCCTCCTGTGCTCGTCGGCTCAGTCCGAAGCTTCGTGGCCTAGGCCACCGACCTCTGGAGTCTTGGAGCCTGGGCCTCGGGAGGCCATTGCCAGGGTCCAGGAGGGTAAGCACCGGAAAAATGGTGAGATGTTTTAGTTGTTTTGGGGGCCCCCCTCGTCCGTCGTCGCCCGCCCGTGCGTGCCCGCCCGCATACGTGTGCTTATACGGCCACCACGCGGAGCACAACATCAAGACGCCTGACGATCTGGGATGTTTCAGGGGGCCGGAGGGGGGTCGTTTGACTCGCAGTAGCTTCGAGGCGCGATCGGGCAACTTGACCGCGCTCTCATGTCTGTTATCCTGTTATCCCCCTTCTCTTCCTCCTCCTCCTCCTCCTCCTCCCATTTTTCCCCCGCCTGCATGCGTCCTATCACAACTTGTTCGTGAAACGCCGTGAGAGCAAGCAATACTGTGAAACATCGGTCGCATGCAAAACCGTACCGATTTTGTACTTTGATCAAGAAATTTGACGTGGACGCACGACACTCAATAGCTGGCTATATCAACGGAGCGGACTGAGCAAGGATGCAAGACACTGGGAGCGAGAGTCTGCCTGCCAGCCGGTCGGCAAGCCCCTGAGGAGCAGCGCGGGTTGGCTGGAACCCTCTCGCATCTCCGGGCTAGAACGGATCTGGCCGGGGGGATGACGAACGGCCAGTTGAGACATGAGCGTGATTATTTCACACCGGCCTGCAAGCCTCATCCCGTCCATGAAATTCCTGCTTCATGATTGCTCCCACCGCCCCGCACTGTCGTCCCCCCTGCCAGTCCTCCTCCGTACTGGTCGGTCCAGCCTGCGCCTGGCCTTCTCCCCCACACTGTTCCCACGCTGGTCGATTCCCCCCCCCCCTTCCTCGATCCACCCCTGCTCCCTCTTGACCCTCCATGCTGGTCCATCCACACCCCATCCCTTTTCCCCCCACCTACTGATCGATCTGCTCCTCCCCTTCCTCCCCCCTTCTTCGTCCTCCTCCACCACCCTCCTCCTCCTCCTCCTCCTCCTCCTCCTCCTCCTCCTCCTCCTCCTTTGCTCCGTGGCACTGGCCAAGCGCTATTGGTGTCAACAGCTTTTCTCTGCGCCGATTTAGTGTCCCTGCCCACGACGTGTGGCGACGCGAAGAACTGTCGCGTCACCTGGCCGCCGCTGCTCAGTCTGTCCTTCCATGCCCAGGGGCCCTCTTCCCTGGCCTGTCGGCGTGGTTCTCGAGACCTCTCTCGGACCCCACCTCCTGTTACGTGCATCGTCGCAGCCGGCCCGCAGAGGGACCTTTGCTGGAGGCTGGGATGCAGGTGTTCACCGACGGTTCGACCTTCGAGGGCCACGTCCCGTCTTTGAGGGCAGCGGGATGGGCTGTGGTTGTGACGGGTGGGTGGGGAGCGGGTCGGTCGTGCTTCTGGGGCACGAAACGCCGCTCCAGGCGGCCTGGGACGGCGAGGACTACGTGGTCCTCCAGCTGGTGTTGAACGCGGCTCTC